AAAAAATCCTGATGGAGAATTTCTTTTGAAATTTTGATAAATTCTCTTCTAGTTTTTAAGCAAATCTCTCTTTCAGTCTTAATAGCGAATTTCTTTTGCGGCATAGAGAAATGTCTCTTACATTAACGTTTGTTTAAAAGTTTCAATGCGGACAAATGCAGAAAAAGTATTAAATTTGAATATAACTGTGTTCAAAATGGCTTCCATATAAATTGATCGCAAGTTACATAATTCAATAATATTGAACGTATCTGCTTTCAAGATACATTCCGATCACAACGGAATAATATTGATCAAAACCTGGTTCCAAATGCCTACACTCAAGAAAAATTGGGATGTTTGAAGGGAATGATATTGATCAAGGATTTCAGAATGCATATATTCCAAACAATCGCAAAGTCCATATCTCTTATCTATAATAATCCTCATGTCTCCTGTCAGAATGAACATACTCAGAACAACCAAGTTATTGAAAAAGCAATAAAGTTGATCATCATTATAATCATCTTCAACATTCCCATGATCGAGTGTGGTCGTAGGGTCACTACGACTGATCAGACCCCTCCACATATCTGCGTTAGAAGCCTCACTTGAGTGCACCATACTTCCGGCTTTGTGTCAAACCTAAGCTACGCTTAGAAAATCATTTTGGGCACTTCGACGTGATGCAATGGTTAACAAGTTTGTCTCGCTAGATCAACTACGACTGAATAGAGAGTTTGATCCTCGCTAAGCGCCTCATACTCTTGGCCTTGTGCCACATCTAAGCTACCCTTAGAAAATCCCAATTGGGCACTTCGACGCAGTCTAACAGCAATCTTGTCTCGCTAGCTGTCCAGGTGGTGAGTCGCCTTGACATGGTTGAACGGCTTGCGTGCTTCAACGACCTACAGAGCTATGTGGGCGGGGGCTTTGGCCCTCAGCGGGTACAACCAAGTTTAACAGATGAAAGACACACCCTGGTCCTCCAGGCTGGGAGTTGTGCGGTAGGCTAACAACATACTCACTTAAAAACTGGCTTGTTACAGAAACCATAACGATATCTTCAAACAACGACATAGCCGAAGAAGAATCCCCCAAAGCCGACAACCCTTCTGGCGACTAAGTCAACAACCAGGATAGGGACCTGGAACATCGGAATCCTATACGAGACCAGCAAAATAAGCGAAAAGTGGGTTGACCAAAATAGACTTGGCGCAAGAGTGTTGACGCAGAGATGAAGGCAGCCGGCACGACATGGGCCGAACTGAAGAGTATCGCCCGCAAGCTCGTCTGTTAGAGAGGTGTTGTTGCGACCCTATTTTCCCTAAGGAATCAAGAGGCAAGAGAGAAACGGAAATGGGGATGGACAGGCCACACATTCCACAAGCCTGCTTCTAGTATCACCAGGCAGGCCCTTGGCTGGAATCCACAAAGGAAGCGAAAACTGGGTCGTTCAAAACAGACGGCGCTGAAATATTGACGCAGAGGTGAAGGCAGCCGGCACGACATGGGCCGAGCTGAAGAGGATCGCCCGCAACCGCGTCCGTTGGAGAGGAGTTGTTGCGGCCCTATTTTCCCCAAGGAATCAATAATAATAATAATAATAATTGTCTTACTAGATTAATTACGATTGAATATTGAGTTTGATTCTCACTGTGTTCACCACACTTTCAATCTTGTGCCACATCTAGACTACGCTTAGAAAATCAGCACATATCTATAATACATCTGACTCCGCTAATGATATCTGGTAATTCTGTTATTGACATTCAATAGATTTCACTGGTTCTGATGAGCAGCATATCTGCGAAACTTGGAAGTCGGCCGAAAGATAAGTGAACTGAACTTTTATTTAATTTATTGACTATTGTCAACCCGTTTCTCTATTAAGAAAAACCCCTGATCTTGATATACGCGAGATTTTAGTAACTACAGATATGGAATAAAGAGAAAAGGAAATCATAGCCGACGCATTTCGTCCTCTGAGGAACTTTATCAAGTCAAATGCAAGGATTTTTATTTTGTAACATTTATATACAAGAGCAAAATGTTATTGATTTTTTTCTTAATTTTTAAATTTAAGAACTCTCATAAATAGTCATCAAGGTAGCCAAAAACTCAGACAAGCTATGGAGGACGCGAAGTGACATAATTCATAGACGAAAATGAATAAGTGATGTTATCGAAATTTTTTTTTTTTTTAATGTAAATTAGTATTTAAATTATTTTAATTTGGGATTAATTTATATGTTATATATTTTAAATAGGGTTATGGATTTAACCGTTTTCTTTTAAATTATTTTAACATTTTTATTGTTGTCTTCAGAAAATAGCAATTCTTTCAGAAAATGAGATATTGGAAAAAAATCCCAGAAGCAGACATATTTTGATAAGATTCGATAACGGCACTCTCGAGAATTTTCCTTCTAAGCAAATTACTTTCTTTTTTAATAAGTTAGGCATTCTTTAGATCAGAATTGTGGCTTAATTTATTTCTATGCATGACTAATGCATTTGATAAATTGTTGTGTATAACTCTTTTGGGCACAGATCCATGGTCTATCAAGGCCAACGGATGCCACATATATGTGTATAGTTGTACGTATTCTAATAGAGGCTGTAATCCTTCTAATCTGATGAAAATCTCGGGCTTCCAAGAGAAAAAATTTGAAGAAGAGAACTAAAAAAAGTTGGCTGTCATGGTAAATAACCGCAGAGATGGCATTGGTCAGCTGATTTCGAAAGTTACCAATTACGAGGGTCATTCAATAAATAAGGTGAATTTTTCGGTATAAGGACTTCTAATACAGATAGAAGCTTACTTCTTTTTTTTTTAATTTTTTTTTTTTTTGTTTTACTTCTTTTTCACGTGGATTTAATTTCTTTTGCAGATTAAAAAACAAACTTTGAGAGTTTTGGCGATTAACAAAGATGGCCGACCAAGAAGCATGCCCCAGGATTGAACAGCGGTCAGTTATCAAGTTTTTGGTTGCTGAAGGGTGCAAACCAGTTGAAATTCATAGGAGAATGTCAACTATGTATGGTGCCACATGTTTCAGCCAAAAAATGTCTACAAGTGGGCTAAATTGTTTAAAGAAGGACGGAGCCGTGTTGAGGATGAAGACTGGCCTGGGAGGCCTACAGAAGTGAGGTCTCCTGAGGTGATCGAATCAGTCAATGACTTCATTCAGTCTGACAGAAGAACTACTGTGAACTGCTGAGGCAGGTCAAGAAAGACATAAAGAACAAACGCAGGGGTCATCAGTCAGAAGGAGTCATCTTGCATCATGACAACGCAAGGCCTCACACAGCAGCCCAAACGGTGCAGACCATCAACGAGCTGAAGGTCGGGAACACTAGAATCAAGCAGACGCAGAAGTTTTAATATCTGGGAAGCGTCTTGACAGAGGACGGTAAGTGCGACACTGAAATTCGTAGACGTATTGGGATGGCCAAGAACACATCTCAAAAGCTAGACAGAATAGTGCGAGACAGGAGGATATCTTTGGTAAGAAAGAAAAGAATACTGAACTGTTACGTGACATCTGCCCTTCTTTACGACTGCGAATGTTGGACGATTTCCTCAAAGATGAAGAAGAGACTCGAGGCGACTGGGATGTGGTTCTACAGAAGGATGCTAAGGATATCATGGACCGAACGTGTGAGCAAACGATGAAGTCTTAGAGAGGTTGCAAACAAGGAGGAGGCTTATACTTAATATCAGAAATAGGCAGCAGAAGTTTCTGGGACACATAAATGAGGAAGGAGAGCCTGGAGAATCTGATACTCCCGGGTCGAATAGAGGGAAAGAGATACAAGGGAAAACAAAACGTGACATACCTGGCTGTAAGCAAATGAATGACAGAACGTGGTCTAGGGGAGGAAGCAGAGGGAAGGAACTTATTGAGAGCTGCAAGGGATAAAGGGAGGTGGAGAGCCATGATCGCCTACGTCTTGATAGGATATGACACATAAAAAGAAAGTTCTCCAAGTTCAAGGACACATGGCACAGTGGATAAAGGCGTTGGTTAGATCCAGTGGCAGGACCCAAAGAGTGTGAGTTCAATACCCGGTTAAGGCAGCGGAGAACTTGCAGAGGGGAATTAACAGGAGATAACTGATAACTGACATCCATTAAACATGGCACGTCTACCCCAGTGAGCGAAATAAAGGGTTCAGTTCGACATTCCAACCACCTGAAGAAGGCCGGAGCGTACAACGGCCGAAACGTTGTAATAAATATGGCGACAAAGTTGAGGACAATAGTCCGAATAATGTAAATAGTGTGCATAATACCACATCTCAGAAATATAGACAGATATTGAATCAGCCTGTTTTCAGAGAGGGCAATTCGACCTGTTGTAATGGTTATCAAGCTTGTCTCGATAGATCCATTACGACTTAGTGAGTTCAATCCTCACTGGATACTCCATACATTCAGCCTTGTGTCACATCTAAGTTACACTTAGAAAATCATTTGAAGCAATTCAACGTAGTGTAATGGTTAGCAAGTTTGTTTCGCCAGATCAATTACGACTGAGTAGTGAGTTCGATTCTTACTGGGTGCTCTACACATTCGGCCTTGTGCCACATCTAAGCTGCGCTTAGAAAATCATTATCAGCCTTGTGCCACAATTGTATTTGAAGTGCAATAAATATACCGTCTGTTTCCCTCGAATTGTTTTCTTGTGTTCCTCTTTACTCGTTCTCCACTCCTCGTTTCAGAGGATATCCTTAATCCTTAATTACTTACTAATATTTAATTTAGCTTAATCCTCTGAATTAATTATCGGCGTGTATATTAATGCCTTACAATCTTTTCATTAACGCTCAGTAGTCAATTTACTTATTTTTCCATTGTTCCAAATTAACCTTTTTTTTTCTCACGTCTCCTAATTGGTTATGCGATGATCCGTAACCTTTACTTGGAACAGTAAACCTTTACTGAGAACAGTTTACATGAGACTAGAGAACGCGTTCAGTAACTACACAGCAACAGAAAGAAGACTCGCCGACGCTTACGGCCATATCACGTTGAAACACCGGTTCTCATCCGATTACCGAAGTTAAGCAACGCTGAACCTGGTCAGTACCTAGATGGGTGGCCGCTCAGAAATAACAATGGATAAAGGCTCGGAATGAGAAATCGGTGAACTGAGTTCGAATTCCAGTCGAGTTCGTTATATTCACTTCCGGGCAAATTCCTTTGCAAAAGGTATGCACTCACCTCTTCTTCCCCCGACCTATGGATTAATTACTAAGACTTGCATCCCTAAAGCAATATTATCCCCCAAAAATTATTTCAATCTAAAAATACTTTCTGGCTTTAAATAACGTGAAAAGGATTGATAAACCATAAAAAATAAATCAATCAATAAGTCACTCGTTCGATTAGCGAAGTTAAGCAACGTTTAAACAGGTCAGTCCCTAGATGGGCGAACACTCGGGAATACCAAATGCTGTAAAGTTGGATGTGCGGGTGGTGTAATGGATAAAGGCTCGGAATAAGAAATTGGAGAGCCGAGTTCGAATTGCAGGCGGGTATGTTATATACACTTACATAAAAACACCCTTGGGAAAGGTATGAATCCAACTCTTCCCCTCACAGCTAGGGGTTAAATAGTGAGACTTGTATCAGAAAATTGTTATTATCCCCAAAAATTTACAATCCAAAAATATAATTCGGCTTTAAATAACCTTAAAAAGGTTGACAAGCCGTAAAGAACAATCAGTAAAAGACTCATCGGATTTATTTAACCTCTACAGCGAGACAATCAGAAGCGAAGTAGAATTCCTACCAGGATTTATTATCTGCGATCATAAACTTAACATAAGATACACAAATGACATTGTGTTTATAGGAGACTTAGTGTTGAAACTTGGATAAGCATGGAATAATAATAATACAACACAAAATGTACGTTAACAAAATGTATTGAAACAAGGAAAGGGTACACAATATTTACAGTTAGTTTTGGTATATTCTTGGGAAGACTGTTCCTGCATAATGGGTTGACTAAATCGCAGTCGGGCAGAGTCTCTGGATTCGATCTCTTCTTCTAACTACTATTTCCCCCGTCTTCCGGTACCAACCCATATTTATATGGTCGGTACTCCACTTATGTAAATTAGGTGTATCGTACACAACACTTAGGAAGAAAACTTAAAGAACTCTTACATAAGTTTCTTTTGTGATGTCAACGAACACTCGTTGCCACTTTTTTGATGTCAACGAATACTCGTTGTCACTTTCGTAATGCTCGTTGCAGTAGAGACTTTGTAATCGCAGATACAACTTTAGTACGCCATTGAACAATACTCGTGTCAGACGCCTTCGAATAATCTCGCGTTAATAGCATTTTCTCGATAATACTCGTTCGACAAGTAACCCGTCTCACCAGCTTAGACGAGCTATGACCAGTTAAGATCAGACAAGCTTTGACAAGATAAGACCAGCGGCCCGAGGGGAAATACTTGGGTCCCCACGTTAAAAAGTCGACCTTGTGTCATAATCTGACTCAGTGGGGGGAAGGTCAAATAAATCTCGAGCAGTTCGACTGTGGTAGCAAACAGAAGACACGTGTATTGGATTGTTTACCTTATGCTGTGCTGTTTGGTGAACGAAACGAATTAGGGAACTTTATTCCAAGCTAGAAGAAACTGACTACAAAAACACACGAAGACAATTTAAGGAAAATGGGTACTGGGAATTTTAATCAGAAACATTCAGACTGGCCATTGAAAAACTGGAGATTTGGAAGGGTCATAACTTGTTTGTTTTCAATCTTTTTTATTTTTTGAAGATTATAGAGCATCCATTGGAGATTGAAATGGCTACGTATGATGTCCTGTAACCAGTAAAATTCATTGAATTTTTTTTTATATTCCAATGAAAGATCAATTATTCAAACTTAGAGAAAATACCGTCAACATTTTAATACCAGAGTATCTCCTAGCGATAACATGATTCGGAACACCTAATCACCCGATTTGAAAGAACTGGATCAGTCGGTGATCTTCCGGGAAAAGGTCCTAAGCGCATTGTGCGCACTGACATAGTGGTGGTAGCTGTACGGCAGAGTGTCTTTGAGGTTCCATCAGCTTCTACCCGTCGACGCTCTGCTCAACTCGGCATCGACGGAACATCTCTTCAGAAGATTCTGAAACTGGATTCAAAAATGTTTCCATACAAGATTCAAATGGTCCAACAATTTAAAAAAAAAAGTGTTTATAAACGTTATTTTTTGTTTTATATAATTCAGGCTTTCAGTGACTACCCTGGACAATTAAAATTTCTGGGTCACATAATGTAGAAAGAAGGTCTAGAAAATAATTCGCCAGCCTGAAACTGGATTTAAAAATGTTTCCATGCAAGATTCAAATGGTCCAACAATTTTTAAAATAAAACGTGTTTATAGACGTTATTTTTTTGTTTTATATCATTCAGGCTTTCAGTAACCACCCCGGACAATTAAAATTTCTGGGTTGCATAATATTAAAAGAAGTTCTAGAAAATAATTCGCTGTGCATCAGAGGTCGACGACTTTACCAGTGGGCGGAGGAACATATGAGTGAAGGAATTGGGTAAACTCAGTATATCCGGTGGAAAAGGAAACAAGCAATTGCACTATTTCGCCTTGTATCAAAAAGATACAATGGATCAATAATTAGCTCTTCTTTCCTGATATTATTTTCCACTAATATGACCGATTCACGTGTTTCTGACTCAAAGACTTTCTCGGGTTAATGATTGTACCATTCCTTTTCTTGCTGAAAATTCAACTTCCTGCGCAACTTCCAATGGATGATTTTTGGCTACTTGTTCAAATCTCCACGTTTTATTCCTATTCTGAGCTAGCCTTGGGCTCTCACTCATAATGTGTGCTATGTCATTTTTTTTTATTTTTCATATTTTGCTTTCGCGTTGTGTAGCACGAGTCTCAAGTCTATTGGCATTACGAAGGCAGACCCAGATATTATGTAGACAATTTTCTCCCTATCTTCTCCCTACAAGCATATTATTATTATTTTCATTTCCTTTGATTTCTGTTGTCTATTCATTTACTTCCGGGTCCCAACCAGAGACCTAAGGTCAAAAATGGCATCATGACATCTTCCACTGATCATTTTTTTGGAAAAAAAATGAAAAGAAAAAGCCCTAAAATCACACACATTTTATATAGATAATGCTGCTCGTAATGTGCGAGCTGTACTTGTCAGTACGTTTTTTTTTAAGGTATGGCTTACCGAGTAGGTATGGGTTACCAGGTAGCCCTTCAATGAGTCTATCTGGATCTTTCCCAATCAATCCGAAGAATCCAAATACAACTGGAATTACTGATGTCCTCATGTGCCATTTTTTGAAATTTTCACTTAAAATATATAAATAAATAATAAATAATAAAATGAATAATAAAATAAATAAATAAAACTGTTACAGTTTTATTACGACACTGGTATTATTATTATTATTATTATTATTATTATTATTATTATTATTATTCTCTTAGATTTCTGGCGTTTACACATTTCTTTCCGGGTCCCGCCCAGGGACCTAAGGTTAGAAATGGCATCATGACACTTTCCACTGACAAAAAAAAAAAAAAAAATTACATAGATAAAGCCCTTCGTAAAGTGTGGGTTGTACTTGTGAGAACAATTTTTTGTATCTCTTTGAGGCATGGATTTCCAGGAATCCCTTCAATTAGTCTGCTGCAATCTTTTCCAACCAGTCCTAGGGCTCCAACTACAACAGGGATTGTTGATGTTCCCATATGCCACATTTTCGAGATTTCTATTTCAAGGTCCTTGTACTTTGACAACTTTTTGAATATCTTCAAAGATACATTGCAGTTTATTATTATTATTATTATTATTATTATTATTATTATTATTATTATTTCCTTGGGTTTCTGTTGTATACTCATTTACTTTCGGGTCCCAACCAGAAACCTAAGGTCAAAAATGGCTTCATGACATTTTCCACAGATCATTTTTTGTAAAAAAATGGAATAAGATCATATATACATTTTACATAGATATAGCTCTTTCTAATGTGTGAGCGATACAATTTTGTATATTTCATTAAGGCACTGACTACCGGAAATCCCTTCAATGAGTTTTTGTAAAAAATAACAATAGAAAAGCCTAAGATCATATACATTTTACAGAGATAAAGTTCTTCCTAATGTGCGAGCTGTACTTGTGAGTACAGTTTTTTTGTATTTCTTTAAAGCATGGTCTACCAGGAATCCCTTCAATAAGTCTATCGGAAGCTTTTCCAATCAATCCTAGGGTTCCAACTACAACTGGAATTATTGATGTACTCATGTGCCACATTTTTTTAGATTTTCACTTCAAGATCCTTGTATTTTGATAGTTTTTGAAGATCTTCAAAGATACATTACAATTTGCAGGAACTTCCATGTCAATAAAAAGCACATTCTGTTCTTGTGGTCTTCGATCTCTATGTTTGGGCGATTAACTTTGATTGTTCTGCCTGTGTGTATTGTAAAGTCGCATAAAAATCGTTACAGGTCCTATCTCTGTAGTGATTTTCTAAGCCCGGCTTAGATGTGACACAAGGCCAAAAGTATGGGGCACCCAGTAAGTATCGAACTCACTACTCAGTCGTAATTAGTCTAGTAAGACAAGCTTTCTAACCATTACACCACGCTGAGGTGCCCCAGGTCCTATCTCTGTAACCGGGTCTGGGTGGTGTTCATACCAGTTTCTTGCAGTTTCCTTTCCGTAAAAGTTCCAGTGCAAATACTGGCCCACTCTGTCATGTCGAATTTTATACTCAGTGGGTGCTAATACAAGATGGTCAATTGTTTTTGGATATTTATCACAGAATCGGCATTTCAGGTTAACAAAATTTTCAGTATGTGTGTTTGATAATTTCTATTTGGCAAGCATTGGTCCTGTGCAGCAAGAATAAAACCTTCGCTTTCATCTTTTAACTCTGCACAACATAACCACTGATGGTTACAGGATTTGTCTACTTACATCAGCTTATTTCGTACAAGCAGAGTATTGACCATGGAGATGCTTATCTTGCCATCGTTTCTGCATTTGGTACATTACATTTGTTTTTGCTTTCTTTTTTAGGTTTTTT